TGTCTATCTCTGAACATGTATAAATAAGTGCGTGCCAATTACTGGGGCAACACGAATTAAAAGAAGAAGACTCAATTATTATTTATTTTTAACAACATTGATTAATAATAAATCGGTATTCAAACGCTTACACTAAATTGACACGAGAATGCAAGGTGATCTGACAATTTGAATTAACATTTTATATAGAGATTTAAAGCGCCCTTAAAAAAAGCTCATTCTGTCGTGTCTGTGGGGGGGGGGGGGAGAGGGGTGAGGGTGTAGGATAGTTTGTTCAACTCATGATTAGAGTCGCTTCGTTTTCGATCGAAACGTAGTTTAATTCTCAATAACCAAAGATGTGCGCTTTATTGGCAACTCATAGCGCTTGCAAGAGGCTTCCCTGAATATTTACTGTGCTGTAATGAATGTAAAGCCTTCGAAAAAAAAATTGATTTTGAATATTCTCCAACTTTCTTTGTTTGTACAAGTAAACTATAAATCAGTTTGTTCTTATTTAAAAATACTTCATTTGCAGAATGCAATCAACCGATCATCTCTGTCGACGCATACATTGGAAATGTTAAGCCTCGCTACAAGAATGGTGACCAAGTGAACATCACATGTAACGACGATTCTGTTTCTTTAATTTGGGAATGTCAACGAGATGGATTGTGGCGTGGGCCTCCCTTCGAATGCTCTCGTACTAATCCATCGCCTGAAGGTAATTATGCACCTAAACATATCCGATAAGACGGGATAATGTGGTACCACACTATGACACGATCTGGTATAATATCACATCATATACCAACTTATAAAGTAAACAATTTATCCTCTGAATGTGTAGTACTACTAGATGTATGTCATTTAGTAACTGCGCCTTTTACATGTAACATCAAGCTCTATGACCAAAATGTATCTCCACCTGAACAAATGAATAGATAGACTTCCCGCAAGCTCTTTACTACAATACATTTCTTATTTCAAAGATCAAATAAAGCATGATGAATTACAAGACCCAAAAGCATATTTACATGAGATGTAAAAGAAACGAAAAGTAAAAAGCGAAACAAGCGAAAAAGGGGTACTGCTTTACAAATTAAGCTTATCTCTTTGATTATTATGAATATTTGTGGAACAATTTACCTACTTGCGCTTATATTAATACCGTCTATAGTTTACCATCCGGACTATTCTATACATACATTTTTGTTCATGCCCACCTTGTTTTTATAATAATTGTTATCTTTAAACAAATATATATTTTGTGTACGGGGTCGCTAAAGTTATGTACGGATTTTGCTGCATGTTCGGTAAAAAATAAAGATATCTAAAATTAAAATACTGAAACAAATGTCAATGGAAATATGAGTACAAATACAAATGCAAATAATAAATAAAGAAAAGAAAAACAAAATACAATTACCGGTTTGAATATGAATACGAGTACAAATGCAAATGCTAAATACGAATATAAAGATATATCTTAATACACAAATTAATGCGGTCTTTGCTGATAACCAAATTACTTGTATTTCCAGGGCAACAACCTTCATCTCCGGGGCGCTTTACAAGACCTAATACTGAGCATGATGGAAGGGATTACTTTATCACCGGTCTTCTGGTTACAGCTGTCATCTTATTCATCCTTGTTCTGATGTGTATGGCTGTGTTTGTTATCTTCATGAGAAAGTAAGTAAATATTTTCATTATTGTTTTCTATTTATGCAAAATGTCTTTTATTGTATCAAGGCCGTGATTTAAAAAATACTTGTACCAAGCGTTTCGTCAAAACCAGGCAATGGGATGGTTTCATGATATCATTATTTTCATTTTACATTATACATATTGAAGACAAACCAAAGTATTTAACCACTAATGAACTCCGCTGTAAGAAAAGTCTCCACTATCTTTGTTCGGTCAGATAGTTTGACAAATAATGTTGAAATATTCAGGCAGTTTTTTTCTGTGATACGGTAAAGATAGATTGTTAAAAAAAAAAAAAAAGCGTAAAATTGGGAAGATTCTCAATAAATGCGTATAAACTTCGTAAAGATTTTCGCAGAGCCTAAGAATCAATTAGAACAGAAAAGAAAATGGTCATGCAATGCAACACTTGCATAAATAAATCAGACGTTTATAGTTTTAAATATAACGATCGAATTAAAATCAGAATAGAATTTTAAATCTCATTCCAATACATTTTTTTTCATTTTATAATCAAACAGTCGTGGGTACGATTTGGTAACATCATCGAAAGACGCTCTTCAAGATGAGAATGGATCTAGAGGACCCCTCCCTGACGTTCCTGAAGGATATGCTAACTACGTTGCTGGTGAACAGTCACTCTATGTCGAACCATATCTCAAACAAAATGGAGATCACATTCCAGCCTATGAAGTCTACGAAAAACCAGTTTGATTAATTTATCCTCGATAATGTAAACAGCTAATCACTATCAGTGTTAGATTCAGCGTGCTTTTCCTTTTCTGTACCATTCATGTTAATATTTTTTTTGGTTTAGTTTACAAAATGTTTAGACCAACCTGGGGCATGCACCTTCGCCTAATAATCTATGTATTAATTGTCAGTTGTTTTAATTTTAATACTATTTAATCTTTTAATGTAAGTTCTTACTAGCAGTTATTCCCTTCTGCTCACTAAATTATACGTATATTCAATATATAGAAAAGCTATACAATTTCTGTCCTCCCCAATGATGCATTAGTTATTGTCCTTAATCCAACACTGATTTGTTTTCTGCATATTTAAATGAAATGTATGTTTATTAGCGTTTTTTCTTTCTTAATTTCTCAAGTAAGAATATGAAAAGCCCAATTTTCTCTCGTGTATCAAATGTTTATTACTGAGATCAATTTAAGACGAGGTTAAACCTTTAACGCTTTACATACAATAGGTAGCAGATGTGTACAGTATGATTCTATATGTATTTCTTCATAATGTGAATACTTTTCTTTCTTCAACTTACATGTCCAGGTTATTATCAAAGTGTACGATATTCAACTCATTGATTACTCTAATACACATGGAAAATAAACAAAACAAAACTTCAACTTAGGAATACTAATTTCATTATTTTCAATCCATTTTTATTTCGAATTCATTTCGATTTCAATTTTCATTTCAGTCAATTCATGTAGCTTTACATATTTGTATATTTTACTAAGTAAAAACTAAATGTCCCTTTTTACAGCCCTTGTAAATTTGATGCGTTCTTGTTTTGTTCGTAAATCAAGAATAGTAGATGCCCTGGTTGAAATAACGCTTTGTTAATATGTTTAGATAAAAAGCTTTAATATGTCATATTCTCAAGAAAAATAAATCCATACAAATATATTTTTCACATGCTTTTTTTGTTTTGTTTAAGCATCATAAGCGTATTAATAATGTAGTTGTTAACGTCATGGATTTGTACCCCTATTATAAAAAAAAATCAGTGTTGTCCCTGTATTTTTGTATGTGATTTTTTTTGTAAATAAATAATAATAATAATAATAATAATAATGGTGGCTTCGTATACAGCGCACATGTTCGTCACGCTGTGACGATCCTGCCGCTGTCCCGATTATTAAGTTTGAAAAAAGAAATGCTATTATAAGTAAGTGACATATGTTCAATGAATTAAATATGACATATGTATATATATCCGGAACCGATAGGAAATAATTTGTGTACAAAACTACCTTGGATTTTTTATTCTGACTCGTTAAATATAAATGCATGCATACATCTATAACAATTACGATGAAGGTGCTGACAAGGATAGTGATAATAATGATGATAATTAAAATAATAATGTTAATGATGATGATAGTTATAGTAACAAAAGTAATGATAATTATGAAAATGGTACTAACACTGTTAATGACGATGGTAATTATAATAACAATAGTGATAATAAAAATGATAAACAACCGTAGCTCACAATCTCCTCATTTGTTTAACGGTGTATAAAATATAACGCAGTTTGTTTATAAAAGGTTCATTAATCATAAACAGGAGAAAACAGGATATATAAAAATCATGAAAACAATGATGATATTAATTATAACAATAATGATAAATTATAATAATACACACTTTTACTAATGTTAATGAGCATTATAAAAACAATTATAATAATAGTAATACAAATAATAATACTAATAATACAAATAATAATAATAATACGAATAAGAAGAATTAAAGAGGACTAAGAACATTTAATAAGAAAGTGGTTTATCTAATGATGTTCGGATTTTTATTCGTTAAACCTATATATTATAATCTATACTCAGACTTGCACTTTATATGCTACAACGCAAATGTTGTAATATAATATTGTGTTATGATTCTACAGAGAATGGTATGAAAATAAATTACTTACATTAGCATAACATGTTTGTATATGAATTTTATTTCCTGTCAGCGATTTCGTATGCAACTACCCTAAATACGTTCAGATAATATGTAACAGGCGCACATCAATAGTTTGATCCGTCTTTGCCTTCTGTGAGGTTGAGTTTAAGAATACCCTATAATCGATTTGAATGAAATATATACCTAAGATATCAGAGACTGCATTTCTTGTACATAATAATTATTTAAATTGGTTATCATATATTTTTTATCATATCATATTTTTATATCATATAGGGGAGATAAAAGAACAAAATAACAATAATAGGTTTCAGGCAAAGTAATTTATTTCCGTTGTTAGCCAGTCATTTTTATCAAAGTAAACTGTTATCATTCATGGAAAAAAATTAGTCACTTCTCTTTTTTCTACAATGGCACTTTTACGCTGTCGACAATGATAATAGCACATTTAATCAAATAAAGTACCAAGTGAAGCGGGCATTAAGCTCGTCTACGGACCTGATCGGTATTCAGGCTGGGTCCAGGTCAAGCTTACAAGTGGCAGTAGAAATAATCTGATCCCATAAGTCACCGACTTCACACGTTATGATTAATATTACTCCAAATGTTTAACACTTCCGATTGTGAGATGATTGACCATGGCAATACTGCATCGTAAGTAACCTGTCCTTAGGCGGTTGAGGCTTAGCTAAGAAGGCCAAGTTGGAACTGGATACAAGGGACTCCATTGGGCTGGGGAATAGTTTACGTGGAGTGTTTTGGAGGTGGTTAGACCACTAAATCATCCTTTGATTGTGAGGGCTGGAATCAAGGGGCTCTACATTGAACAAGAAGCCATACCAACAATATGACAGCAAAGGCATTCACTAAGGTTTGCTTTGCAGCTTATAACATCACTTCATATATCATGTTTTCAGAAGCTAGAAGCCTATTATATAAAACTTAAATTCTGAATATTATTCAATGTTGATATGGGCTAGATGGAAGAGAAGCCAGATCGTTGTTCTACTGCCCCAATCTGAAAAAAACGTTGATTTGAAATGAGTTTGTTTTGTACCTTAGCTCGTAATCTCGTAAATTTCGAACATTAATATAATGAGGGGGACAAATGAATTTACTCCAATGTTTAATATAATTCAAAAGTTAACACGGACATAAAGTGTGTTTACGGCTCGTACGCGGACCTGATCAGTACACAGGCTGGGTAGAGGTCAAACAGGCAAATGGCACTTTAAAAAAATGGACAACGCCAATATAAGACCAACATTAAATGTTACGTTGGTCTACTCGATAATATTGTTCACCTGCTAGCTTTCAAAGAATGCAATTCACCAAGACTGCATTTCTTGTACATAATAATTATCTAAATTGGTTATCATATATTTTATATCATATATTTTTATCATATCATATTTTATATCATATAGGGGAGATAAAAGAACAAAATAACAATAATAGGTTTCAGGCAAAATAATTTATTTCCGTTGTTAGCCAGTCATTTTTATCAAAGTAAACTGTTATCATTCAAAGAAAAAAAAAATCGTCACTTCTCTTTTTTTTCTACAATGGCACTACGCATTCAGCTATACGCAGTGCCGATAATAGATCACGTGTTGATGTATACACTTTGTTTGCACGGACCTCATACATATTTAGGTGGTGTACAAGTCAGAATTAACCAATGGCAATTTGTGGTTAACAATCTTTGAATAGATTGATAAATAATTAAAGTTCAATTCTTAAAGGAAAGACTCTGCATAATGTTATCGCAATATACCTTAAATGACTGCTATCGTCCGTCAATTGGAAACATTGTAAAACAACTTTAAGATGTTATAGAACAAAGCAGGTGTTTGATAAAATGTATTTTCATTTTTGAATTTCCAGGAAAATTAAGAGAAAAAATGTATATACAAATGGAGTAACAAATACCCTCGATTAGTGCCCAAGAATAACCAGATGGAACTGTATAATCAGTGAATTAAACATTAATTATGATTAAATGTGTTGCTCTCCAAAACAATTTTAAAGATCATATTTCCTTTTGAACTAAGAAAAGTACCCCGACGCATTTTGTTCTCTTCTGCAAAGCTATAAAGGGACTTGGAATATATAATACAATACAAGTGATGCGGGTGTGCAGCTCGTCAGCGGACCTGATCAGTATTCAGACCTCTTAGATATCAGTTTCGTCGTGAGCTGTCCTTTTTGGAGAAAGGCACGCGTTTAATATATGTTTTTTCTTCACATTCAAATAATGTCAGATACCACAGACTATGTGAGCTCTTTTAGTGAAACGAGAGGGAAAGTTAAGCAATTTTAAATTATTAGGAAACAAGGTTTTGGCTCATGTATTTTATATTGGCACGAGGAACACTTGACATTTCGCAACCAATAGTGGCCAATTTGGCTCTCGGACCTAAAATATATATGTATGGCAGAATGATGTTGATATAAATCAGCATATCCCGAACATTTGTCTATAATTTGGTTTGTGAATCAGATTCATGATAACATTACCTTACCACCACAATTACTATGACCCTAGTATCTAGCTGTGCTTACTAACTTTGACACAGCAGATAATATCTCTTCCGAATAAACACATAAGACCCAAGCAAACAGTGATGTACTACAAACTAGGTGATGTATTTTACTGGAATTTTCTTTCCTCACATGCCCCCTCCCCCGCAAGAACGGACAGAAGACAATTGCTGATATCAATTACCGTCTATAATCAAGACACATTAAACCCTTTTCAAGGGATGCATGTTGAATTAAATCAAAAAGAAGAAAAATTAAAATAACGTCGAAGTATTTTCCATGATCCTTAAACTTCGAAGTTTCATTACTCTTAACAATTAATTTGTCACTGCATAATAATGCGTGAGGTATTAATAAATCTCAAATTGCAATGTACAAGTATTTTTCTTGTTAAGAAATAACGAAAGAAAATCTATTTAAAATAATTTATTATGACCTTCTTTACAGGTTCCATTCCTTGCAGTGCCCCATACATTCCCGCACACGCACATGTTACAAATCCTCGTCTCAACTACAACTTTGGGGCCAAAATTACTGTGACGTGCAATGCCAGTTCGGATACCTTCAACCTTCAGTGTCATAACAAAGGACTTTGGAGTGGACCTATTGTATCCTGCCCTGAATCGACGGGTAAGCTAATATTCAAATCCGTACCCGGTTTAGGATTACTTTGCTTCTATTAAGATTTGAATCTAAACAATGCATCGAAATCCCTAACACTGCGTCAGGTTGTACGGGGCGTGAATATGTTCGTCCCATTACGAAACGTTCTGAACGGAGTCCAACTTAATTACCCGAATGAATCCCTAGCTGCCAAAAAACTATGAACTCGCAATGCTAGTATTAATGCTGATGAGCACTTTTTTTCCAAATGGTATTGCTGAATGTGTTGCATACGTGATTGGTTCGTTTGTTCTTTAGTCCGTATATATGTTCTTGTTGCACTTCATTACGTGAGACGCATTCACAATTTGGTGAAAGTAAAACATATTGTTTTCGTTTAGTTTGGTTTACACAATCCACCACACTGAGGGTTCAGACATAACATAGTAATTGTAGACATTTCGTACAGATGTGAAGCAAGTAACTTAAAATTGTTTCCCTTAACTCTAGCTCTTCCGACGAACTGTAATGCTCCTTCAGTCCCGAGATACTCAACGCTCGAAACCCTCAGTCCGAATTATAACCTTGGAGACAGTGTGACATTCCGATGTGACAATACCAGCATTCAACCGTTTAGTCTTCTGTGTGAAACCACTGGGCTATGGAGTGGACCAATGCAGTCGTGCCCGCCACCCGTCTCAGGTATTTAAAACATACATGCATCCATTATTGTCACAGAAGATAAATATATACGGGACCAAAAATAGAACACCTATAAAAGTCAAGTTTACTAGTTTTCAAAATTTCGATTACTTTAGATCAAAAACATTGACAACGACTGAAATATATGAATATATATGCTGCCTTATTAATTGAGGTTTATAAAGAGGTGAACAAGATAACAGCAGTGCATTGGTATCTGAAACCTATCCCTCTGACAGGAAAATTTCAACTGGCTTCCGTCAAATACGATCCCCAAATTAATGTTCATGATTATGGAGGAAGATATATTAAATCTTAATATTAGATTCAGGGAAAAGTGCCCATTACTGTGCAAACTGTAATTGTAATTGACTTATTAGCAGGTAACATTTAGATGTTGGCTTATCATCGAAATGTAGGATAAAAACAACAGTTGTGATTATAACGAAGACTATGTCTACGCAAAACATTATAAAAAGATAGCTATTAATTGTTCAAGTTAGGAGGTCCAGTAAGGTAAGAGCTTCATTGCTGCGCTATTGGTCGTACAACTGTTCGCCATTATCCATAATTGTAGCATTAACATCATGGTATCAATACATCAGCTCCTAGTTTAAACTTTAGATATTGATCATTACTTTCTCTGTCTAAACTACTAATGCTATATTATTAAACATATGTATTGAATTTCCTTTCACAGCCCCTACACGATGCACTAGTCCATATATCCCAAAGTATGCATCAGCTGAAAACATACGTTTGGTTTACAGCATCGATGAGAGTGTAACAATCACCTGTGACAGCAATACAGACAGGTCGTTTACACTTCAGTGCAAATCAGATGGGTTTTGGACGGGTGGTGTCCAGTCTTGCCCACCGCCGTTAGAAGGTTAGCTTTATTCATTAATCATTTATTCATTAATCATTATTCATTTACCCAGCTATCAATGGTCAAAAACTTGTAAATAATACTTAAGCCCCAACGCTCACACGTATTTAATTAACGGTACATTTGTTGTCTTTCGTGGTTGTGGTTTTCAAAAAAGATAGCATCCACCCACTTAATGTTGTCTGTGTTATCTTCCAACAACATAATACTTTATTTTCCTGTTTACGTCCACAGATATACTCAAATAACATTTCAAGTAGATAGATGTTTGTTGTACCAACTATCATCTCCACTTAATTTTCTGAACAGCTCCGGATAAGTGCAGTGCCCCTTACGTTCCAAGATATGCATCGATTCAAGGCCTGCAACTGAATTATGACTATGATGACAGTATTATTGTAACATGTGACAGCAGCACTGCTCAGTTTAACCTTCGGTGTGACACGAAAGGTCAATGGAGTGGCCAGGAGGTTTCTTGTCCTGCACCTACCCCAGGTAAGACTTTTAAAAAAAATTATTTTTATTTGATTCTATTTGATTAATTGTTTTTGTCTAAAACTCCCCCCCCCCCCCAAAAAAAAAAAAAATAATAAAAAAATAAAAAATAAAAAATAAAAAAAAAAAATAATAATAATAATAATAATAAAAAAATCAATAAAAAAAAAAAAAAAAATCGACTGGCTTTCGCAATTTACATAACAATTGGTTTTGTTGGTGGATGTGGTCAACAAAATATAGCATCCAACCAATTCAGTGTTTTCTGTTATAACTCATTAACATTATTCTTTATTTCTCCTGTTTACGTCCAGAGATATACTCAAATAACATTTCAAGTAGATAGATGTTTGTTGTACGATTTATCATCTTCACCTGATATTCTTTACAGTTCCGGAGAAGTGCAGTGCCCCTTATGTTCCAAGTTATGCAACTATTCAAAACCTGCAACTGAATTATGACTATGGTGACAGTATTACTGTGGCATGTGACAATAGCAGTGCTCAGTTTAACCTTCGGTGTGACACGAAAGGTCGATGGAGTGGACAGGAAGTTTCTTGTCCCGTACCTACCCAAGGTAAGACTTTTTTTTTTGATTCGATTTATTCATAGTTTCTGTCTATAACTTACCCCCCCCCCCCCCCCCACCATTCGACTAGCTTTCAAAATAAACAAGTCCTAAATCAATGGCCATGATGATGGAGGACGATATTTTTAATCTTCATATTAGATCTAGGAAAAAGTGAATGTGCAAATTATTAGAGTTCACATTTCAAAAAAGGGTTTAACAAACGACAATATAATTGCCCAAAATGCTAGGACATTAACAGAGAAACTGGCTTGGCACGTTACTGTAGACCCGAGTTATTATCAGGTAACATTTTGAACTGGGCTTATCATGAAAATGTCGGAAATATCGAATTTGTTTATTATAACTAAGGCTATGTCGAGACGAAGTATTATTAGAGAAAGGTATTAATAGTTCAAGTTAAGAGGTCCAGTAGGGTAAGAGTTTGATTCTTGTGGTATTGGTCGTACAACTGTTAGACATTATTCATAATTGTAGGATGTAAATTATGGATAAAATCAGAATCAGCTTCCAGTATTAACTGTAGATATTAATCATAACTTTCTCTGTCTAAACTACTAATGAAATAATAAGAAACATTCGTATTGCATTTCCATTCACAGCCCCTACACGATGCACTAGTCCATATATCCCAAAGTATGCATCAGCTGTAAACGTTCGTTTGGTCTACAGCATCGATGAGAGGGTAACAGTCACCTGTGACAGCAATACAGACAGGTCGTTTACCCTTCAGTGCAACTCAGATGGGTTTTGGACGGGAACTGTCCTTTCTTGCTCACAGCCGATAGAAGGTTAGTTATTCTTATTATTCAATTATTCATCATTTATTATTCATTTAGCTACCCAGCTATCAATGTTCGAAAACGTGTAAATAATACCTTAGCCTCAACGCACACACGTTTATAATTTACTGTACAGTTGTTGTTGTTCATGGTTGTAGTCAAAAGAATATAGCATCCAACCACTTTAGTGTTTTCTGTTTACACTCAACAACATTATACTTTGTTTTTCCCGTTTACGTCCAGAGATATACTCAAATACCATTTCAAGTAAATAAATGTTTGCTGTATCAACTATCATCTTTACTTGATTTTCTTTACAGTTCCGGAAAAGTGCAGTGCCCCTTACGTTCCAAGATATGCAACTATTAAAAACCTGCAACTGAATTATGAGTATGGTGACAGCATTACTGTGGCATGTGACAATAGCAGTGCTCGGTTTAACCTTCAGTGTGACACGAAAGGTCGATGGACTGGTCAGGAAGTTTCTTGTCCCGTACCTACCCCAGGTAAAAAAAATTAAATTGTAAATTTATTTGATTCATTGTTTTCGTCTGAACACCCCCCCCCCCCCTCCCTATTTTCGACTGGCTTTCGCACTATACGAGCCCAATATCAATGGTCATGATGGTGAAGGGAGTTAGAAGAATTCTGAAATTAGATCCAGAGAAAACTGCCAGTTAATGTGCAAATTGTAAGAGTTCAAATTTAAAGCACAGTTTGACCAATAGCAATGTAATTGCGAATGTACTACAACATTAACAAAGTAAATGAATGGGCACGCAACTGGAGACCCGACATATGATCAGGTAACATTTTAATCAGGGTTTATTATCAGAATGTAAAATAGCGTATCCGGACACCTTACCCTTAGACATCCACCCCCGGATAACAACCCCAGTCAACCACCCCCTAGGACGACTATCACCCTGGACAACTACCCCCGGACAACTACTCCCCCGACAACTTCCCCCTGACAACTACCCCTTAGGACAACTACCCCCTAGGGCAACCACCCTCTAGGACGACTACCCCGGGGGGTAGGTGACTGCGGGTTGGTTATCCGGGGGATGTCAAGGGGGTAGGTGTCCTAGAACCGTCGGATCGATTGAGACCTGTGATTAACATTAAGGTTATGTCTAGCCGAAGCATCAGATGGAGATCGGTATAAATAGTTCAAGTTGGGAAGTTTTAGTAGGGTAAGAGTTTGGTCACTGCAATATTGGTCGTAAAACTGTTCGACATTATTCATAATTAGAGCGTGTATATTATTTTATCAACACATCAGCTCCTACTTTAAACTCTAGATATTGATCATTACTTTCTCTGTCTAAACTATTAATTATTTTAATAAACATACGTATTGTATTTCCATTCACAGCCCCTATACGATGCACTAGTCCATACATCCCAAAGTATGCATCAGCTGTAAACGTTCGTTTGGTCTACAGCATCGGTGAGAGTGTAACAATCACCTGTGACAGCAATACAGACAGGTCGTTTACTCTTCAGTGCAACTCAGATGGGTTTTGGGCGGGTAGTGTCCTTTCTTGCACACAGCCGATCGAAGGTTAGCTTTATTTATTATTTAATTATATATTAAGTCTTATTCATTTCTCTACCCACCTATCTATTGTCCAAAACCTTTAAATATCAAAGAACATATATAACCCCATTGATCCTACGCGCATACGTGAATAAGGAACCTGACACTTGGCGTTGTTAGTGGTTGTTGTCAAAAGAAGAAAGCATCCAACCACTTCATTGTTTTATGTTATCACTCAACAACATTATTCTTAATTTCTCCTGGTTACGTCCGGAAATATAATACAATAACATTTCAAGTAGATAAATGTTTGATGTACCAACTATCATCTTTATTTGATTTTCTGTACAGCTCCGGAGAAGTGCAGTGCCCCTTACGTTTCACGATATGCAACCATTCAAAACCTGCAACTGAATTATGACTACGGTGTCAGTATTACTGTTGCATGTGACAGCAGCAATGCTCAGTTTACCCTTCAGTGTCGCACGAATGGTCAATGGACAGGTCAGGTGGTGTCCTGTCCTAGACCTCCACAATGTAAGACTTTCGATTTTGATTTGATTGCATTCACTTACCCCTCCCCTCCGAATTGGACCGCTTTTCTCATTAGACAAGCCCCAAATCAATGGTCATGATGGTGGGGATAAATAGAATGAATCTGAAATTAGATCCAGGGAACACTGACAGGTGCTGTGCCAATTGTGAGAGTTTACAATTTAAAAAAAAGTTTGACCAACACAAATAAAATCGCCCCAAATGCCTGATGTATCTATAACAAAATAACATTTTCACCCTATTAAAAATGTAATGTTGTGGCCTTCTTGCAAATTTTAGACATACGACTTGTCCGTTCGCATGTACCTGGACATTGACGTGTACCAGAGGGATGGAAAATTAAACTTTTATAATTAAAATTTTACCATACTCAAAACGACATTTGTTTTAATATGTTTGGGAACCTAACACATTATTCTTGATGTCTGTTTATTTTGTTATAACTACACAATCTACATAGTCATGTAATTGTGACCTAGCATCGTCTTTCCATTCATGAATGAACCTGCATTCAATCAACAGATGTATGAGATTTATTGTATTATTACCAACGCTCCTTCTCTTCCTCCTTCTCTCCTCTTTCCCTTTCTTTTCTGCAAGTCACTCTTTTTTATTTTTATTTGTATTGTTGTATCTAAGTTGAGGGCTGCCGGCACGTCAAGCTACTTTGCTTATTTATGTAGCCCTCCTGCATCTAATGTATGTTAATTATGCATTCAATATATTTGTTTAAATTCAATATATTTGTTTAAATTCAATATATTTGTTTAATATCGTTTATTATCTGTATACAATTATATACACTTGAAATATTGTATTAAGCCATATTATGTTAATGAAAATGTATGATGAAAAAAAGAAAAAAGATACAGAAACCAATAAATCAAATCAAAATCAAATCAAATTGTATCATTGTCCTTGTCTAATTATTGATAAATTTTGTATACTTAATTCTCGGGGGAAAAAAAGAAAATCTATCATTTTACCTGGGACAGACTGTGATTTCATTGAAATATTATATTGTCATTGTGAATAATTGATAAGAATACATGCTGAGGAGCTAGAAATAATGCTCAAAATCTAATGATAAGGGTAATGATATATGTAAGGTGCTTCAGAGATGTGTTAAGTGTTTAATTATCTCACATTTCTATACAGTTGTATATTATTGTTTTCGTTTTATTACTGCTGCTGTTTTTACTACTACCTGATTATTTATTTATGTTCTTATGCTACATACGTGATTTCCTTGTTGCATTGAACCTCACTTTCCAATGATGTTATGTTATATTTTCCAAGCAGCTCCATCTCAATGCAGTGCTCCTGTTATTCCCAGACATTCTACCATTGCATTCTACCGAATAACCTACAACTCAGGTGATGACGTGATTGTAACTTGTGATGCAAGCAACGATCGTTTTACCCTTCATTGTAACAACAGTGGAACGTGGAGTGGACCAGAAATGTCTTGTCGAGAACCAGCCAAACGTAAGATATTTGGTTTTTATCTGACTAGTATGGTAATGTGCTTGGTTTACCTTCACCAAAAAATTAATTAGTTATGTATATGAATCATAATTTAAAAAATTAGAGATAGTTTTTATTTCCAACAGTTGAATAGATAGATAGAATTGTCATTTTCATCATCCATATACATAACTAAATCATTTTAGAATTATGTACGTTGAGATGAACGAAACTTCTTTTATGTTTATAATTATGAATCTTATTTCATATTGGGAATTGCAAAACTTCAACAAAATAGCACGTTAGCGTCTATCAAAATTGTGAGCCGTCAGACGAAAAATCTTTGAAAATAACAAATCCTCGCAATTTAAAACCTTGGAGTAACACACAATATTAAAAGTGCCACCAAGGCTGGAAATTGCAAGTTAGTGTATTCGGAATTAGTCTATAGATATTCGGAATTACGAACCTTTACCCCGCTCCCCAACGTTATACATTAATTAATAAACTAATTATAATAATTGTAGATTTATATTGCGCAATGCTGTACACTGGTAGGAATTTATTCCTTGAAACGCAGCGCGCGTAACAGCTGCACTGCTAAAGCCAGGGTAATTATGCTGCATTATTGTAGAGCGCTTAGAGACTTCAGACAAAGTAAGTGTTAAGCGCTATATAAGCACTGTAATTATTTACATTGCGTCCCAGAAAAAAAGAAACCGAGAATTATCGATGTTTTATCATAACTTAGCCACATTTATAATTAATCAATGACACATAGCTGGAAAGCTTAGACCTCCTGTTTCATTTGATGCAACTCATATGACGCATATTCCACGCATGAGTGAGTACAATTATTTTAAAGAGAGGAAGCCAAAAAGTCGTTTGGCGGACGGTATCTGAATTTCAAAGAGAAAATCACATTTATAGAAGGCTGAGTTTCTGTCCTTTCATATGAAACCTCAATCAGGAAAAATGAGCAATTAATGACAAAGTTGTGTTTGTTTAAAGCAGTGCTTGCATTTCCATATTTTTATCAAACGAATTCGTTTTCACTGACTGCCTGCCGTAACAACAAGCAGAATTGACAAAAGACTTAACTCCGTTTCGTTGACAATCAGCCATGCATCAAGACTTTCGTCTACGACTGATTGTCAACAAAACGGAGTTAAGTCTTTTGTTAATTCCGTTTGTTGCTACGGCACACAGCCAGTGAAAACGAGACCATTTAATAACATTATGAAAATGCAAGCACTACTTTAAACAAACAGAACATTGTTATCCCTTGCTCATTCTTCCTGAATGAGGTGTCTGTATAATGTGATGTTTTAATTTGAGGTTTCAGTGGTTTCAGTTTTGAACTTTTCTTCTTCTTTCCCCCAAATGCTATGAATATGACAGCTCCACCACTTTGCAGTGCACCTCATATTCCGAGATATTCCGAGATTGAGAGTTATCAATTGAACTATAATTACGATGACAGAGTGACAGTGACATGTGACACGAACAGTGATCAGTTCACTTTACGGTGTCAGGCAAGTGGATTATGGGATGGCCCTGATATATCCTGTGCAGCACCGACATTGCCGATAATACCAGGTCCATGTAAGTAAATATATTTTGGGTATTGTATCTGAAATATTTTCTTTCTTATACTCCCTTGTTTCCACCATCATCATCGTCATCATCATCATGTTCTTCTTCATTATCATCACCACTACCAGTTCCATAACCATGGCATAAATGGGGCCCGGAGAAGTATAAAAATATAAATATAAAAGTAATATAAACACGCACTGAGATGAACGCACATCTTGCGCTCAATCCGTTACAATAATCACTGATATCTAGAATAACGTATTTTTCCAGAGAACCTGATATTTTGTTAAACAAAAATACAAAGTACATTTTTTTTTTTTGTAAAATTAATTTATTGAAAAAATATATATGCATTTGCACAAATCAAACAATCATACACAATCGATTGAAATAATATCGTAGCATCTTAACATAGTTCAAATAAAACATGTTTCGTTTTCTTGAATAACAGTGTTTTAAAAAATGCATAGCTTTTTTGTTTTACAGTTCCTTTCGATCTTTAATCGATTGTGGATAAGTCTTTTTCAAATACAAAGAATAGAGAATTCATGAAACATGAGTTTGTGATTTTCTGCTTGCATAAATGTTAAATAAACTGCGTATTTTGCATATATGATAAGACAATTTAAACTGTTAAAATTTTTTTTTTCAAGTTATAACCTTCAATTAAAACGAACTTGTCAAAAGAAAAATTAACATTGTAAAGTTTTCGAATTATGTCTCCAAATTTTAACAAAAAAAATCTTGTGGGCTTGCATTTTACAAATAAATGGAGATTGTCGTGTAACTGATTATCATATAAACATAAGGGATTGTTACACAATTTCCATTTGAATAAATTATACCTATTTGGTAATACGTTGCGTAATAACTTAAAATTGAATTCTGATATTTTGTTTTCTTTCATAGCTTGTAAATTAAATGACCATATGACTTTCCAGTCAATTTTTTCTGTACTATTTAACATTTCTTCCCATTTCTCTTATATTGGAGGTCTAACAATTGAATGAATATACAACGTAGAGTAAAAAAAACTTCGACTTTCGTTTAGTGTTAACATTCATTAAAACATTTTTCATGACACCTTCATTTTCTTCTCGTGTCGCATTTTATACATCTACCTGTCTAAACATATTTTGTTTCCACACTTTGGGAATTACATGTACTATGATATAATATTCTTGAAACAAAGTAGCATGTTTTTTCTCAAATCTTTCTTCAATTTCTCTCAAAGACATAAATCTAGAGTTTTCTACATCAATAATTTTCAAAAGGCCTACATCGAACCATTTTAAAAATAAATAATACATTTTTGTTATGATCTCTTGTATTTGAGTTAAACCATATGTTTTCACTTCTAACATTAGTACATTGTAAATCAATTGGCGTCTTACATTCTACTATCTCTTTAAATTCAAATCAAGTATATACCATATTATTGTAATATTGGGGCATTTTTATATTCTTTAAACAAAACTTCATATCATCTTTTGTACATTTACTATTGAACACATATTGTAAATTGCCAACTTTTTTTTAAAGAAACCATCAATTATCTTTTTCCACTTTGAGTTTTCGTGGGAGAAGTAATGCAATATCCAGTAACTCATACAAACCACTTTTCTTTTTATTTTGTGTTTTTTTTCCATTCCACAAACATGTATACAGTAAAGAGTCAATGAATTTCATTACATTTCTAGCATGGAAATCATGTGAGCATTGTATATAATTTGAGAAACAAGAAATGATTTGATTATAGTTATTTTACCAGAAAATGTTAAGCGCCTTGCTTTCCATAGACGTACTTTATTTTCAATCTTTGATATTTTGGGTTTCCAATTAAGATTTATTAGGTTTTGTTCATTTTCCCCAAAATGAACCCCTAATATTTTAACATCAGAATAGGTCCATGGAATGAATTTCTTTCTTTTTTTTCTCTTTCCATCTCTTCGATTTCCAAAATCTGATTTCCCTTTTTACACCTAAACCTACAAACTTTCTTCAACAAAAAATCTTACCACCTATCAATTTTATTCCATTGTCCTTAACATATGACAAGGACGAATATTTTTAACCGTGATTAGTAGCATTTGTGGATTTAAAGCATTTTTTTAAATATAAATATTGTTTTCCTTTTATGTGTTGCTGTCCCAAACTTAAAAACGCTTAAATTGCCATTACAATGACAATATCTTATGTAAATATTTTGAAGACTGTTTGTTCTGTATGAGTAATAAACTTGTATTTACTGAGCAAAGTCGTACAGGTATTTCTGAGAGAGGTTCAAATCACCTTTTCAATACTTTTATGTTTATTTCACACATTAATTATTTTAAGAACGTCACAAATTTAAATATCCTAACGATTTCCTAAAATATGAACCAACGCTTCCCATTTATAGTACAGCACCTCTCGTGGCCTCCATAATATTGTTTGCAATTATTCTCTCCACAGTTCCTCCATCGCATGCCTCCTGCAGTGCACCAGCAGTGCCTATTGATTCAACCATTCAGAATCTTCGTCTCTCATACAAAAACGGTGACAGGATGAACGTGACATGTAACGTTGGTTCTGATTGGTTCGACGTGTCATGTGACGATGGAATATGGATAGGCCAAAACATAGTTTGCCCTGACCCTCCCAAAGGTATGCAAAACATACGTTTTAAAAAGCTGCCTGTTGTAAAGTCAGTTCGTGTAATAAAAATGTATATGTGTCGTGGTATAGGGCTTCATTCAATTAACTATCAGTCGAAGGGTTGAGGGATCGAATCCCATCCCTCTACAAACGTCCTTTGAACACATTGATGCACATTCGCCTATTTTCGACCATGTACATACCGTGTGAGTCAAACAAAATGTTACACCTAGAAAATTGCTAATTATTTTAAAAATCATCTACGAATAGTAATTATTATACATCTTATGAAAGAGTGTTTTATCCCAAATCATTTGGTATCACGTTTGTGTGGTATGTGTTTACGCTTGGATAAAAAATGAGGCATTGTTTGCGAGGGTGTAAAAATCGAATTGCGCCAAACTAAGTGATGCCTACAGCATGTATTATTTTGGGATTAGCGGAGTGAGAGATTGAATTGAATGAAATGTATTACATATGCTTTTTGCAGAGGAAAAGTCACACACACACACACACACACACGCACAAATGTTCGTTGTTATTTGATATCCGATGTTTGATATGTATGTCATGATTAATTTTGTTAGGGTTGTTATTTGGATCTGCAAAGACCGAATTAATACCCAAATCCCATTTTTTTTTTAAATTCAAACATAACACAAGCAACTTTGGCGCAAATCGATGTTTGCACTCTCGCAAACAATGCCTCCTGCTCATCAAAGCGTGAACACATACCACATAAAATTGATATCAAATATCTGGGATAAAACACTCTTTTATAAAATGTATAATCGTTTATTGTTCATAGATGATTTTTTTAAATAATTATCAATTTTCTAGGTGTAAACTGTCGTTTGACTCACACTGTATAGGTGCTTGACAATTACTGGGACATTACAAATTGCAAGACGAAGACTCGATCATTATTTATTTGTAATAACGTCGATTTTCTAAAAATGATACGAGGATAAGAGGTAATGTGATCAACAAAAGATTGTGAGCGCCCTTCAAAAATCTTATGATCTCTTTGAGAGTGTGTGTGTGTGTATTGGACAGTTTGTACCGTGCGTGATCAAGGTAACTACGTTTACGATCGAAACATAGTTCCATTTTCAATCATCAAAGATTTGCACTTTTTTAGGCAACTACAAGCGCTCGAAAGAGGCTTCCTTGAATGATTATTGTGATGTATTCATTGAAGAGTCTTCGAAGAAGCCATTGATTTTGAATATTCTCCAATTGTCTGTTTGTGTACAAATATACCCTTATCCAGTGAATGAGTTTGTTGTAATGTTTAAATAATTCATTTGCAGAATGCAATCCACCAATCATCCCCGTCGTCTCATTCGTTGAAAATGTTAAGCCTCGCTACAAGATTGGTGACCAAGTCAACATCACATGTAACGACGACTCTGATTGGTTCGCTTGGGAATGTCACACAGATGGCTTGTGGCGAGGGAATTCTGTCCAGTGCTCTACTGATTGTCCACCAACCGGAGGTTATTATGCACTTAGAAATGTCTGATATACGGGGATAATGTCACTATGAACATAACAGACAAAGAAAGAGGACGAAATATGCAGTTCCTCATTCTAACTTCAACAATTGCTGTTGTAGACAAAGGAACATCTTTTTACTGCTATGATGTAAACATATGTAGAACAGGCGAATATGCATGTGCCATCTGTTCTACGCATTTCTGACACAATGGCAGTGAAGGGATGTTCCTTTGCCTACCACAGCATTTGTTGAGGGTAGAATGAGGAACTGTATATTTTGTCCTATTTCTTTGTCCGTCATGTTCATAGTGTGTGGTACCAGACTATGATAACGATCTTGTGTTATATGTTATAATAGTTATGCTGTAAATGATAATCATCTTAATATGTTGCATACTAAAATATTTAAAATAATGAATGTAAACTGGTCCTTTTACATGTAAATAAAAGTAATATAAGAGAAACCATCTCTGCCGCCACAAAATTCGGGAGAGTTTACACTAGCTCTTATGTTGCATGATATTTTTTTCTGTTGAAAGACCGAGCAAAACACGGTGATGAATAACAAAAGCTAAATCATTTTAGACATAAGATGGGAAAGAAAAACAAAATGTAAAGGGAAAAAAGGATACTGCTTTACAAATTAAGCTCATCTCTTTGCAAATCAGAAATAATATTGCATCAATTTACTAATTTGGGATTGTATTATTATTGCTTATTATTTACCTTCCTACTTATTTTTTCCAGGTATTTCTTCCATGCAAAACTTTTTGTTATGATCATTTATCTTTTTATCTTTTTATTTTGTTTAACATATTTTACGGGGCTGCTGTAATCATGTACAGAAATTAGCTGTTTGTTTTGTAACGAATATCTAAGGAAAAGAAATACAAATAGAATAAAGAATATAATTACTCATATATTAATGATATATATATATATATATATATATATACAAAGATAAAAACATTTACGAAGGCGAATACAAATATGAAGAAGAATACAAATAAAAATACAAATGTAAATGATGCACATGCAAATGAAATGATAAAAATACACATACATGTACAAGTACAAATACAATTACAAGTTTAAAGGAAAATACAAATTAAAAACAAAACAAAAATACAAATACAAATACAAACACATATTAGAGTACTAAGAAAAATATGCATCCAACTTCAATTACTGAAATTTAATACAAATATATCTCATGATAATTGGTGTTTGCTTACAACCAAATTATTTATATCTACAGGAGGAAAACCTACATTTCCAGAGCGCATTGCATATTCTAGTAGTGAGCAAAAGGGAAGGGATTACTTTATCACCGGTCTTCTGGTTACAGCTGTCATCTTATTCATCCTTGTTTTGATGTGTATGGCTGCGTTTGTTATCTTCATGAGAAAGTAAGTAAATGTTTGTTATAATAATCGTATAGAGTGGTGAAGAGTGACGTCGTTAAAAAAATATTATTAGAATTTCTCATTTTTTCTCCATTTTCTGAAAACGCATCACAAATAATGTCCGAATGGCTAAAACCAATTGGATATATTTAGCATTGGCTGAGATATGACCATCTGAAGAAAAAAAAATGTCCTATGGGAACTCAGTGTGTAGTGCTCTGGTTCATAACATTAGGAACCAGAGCACTATAACACTGAGTTCCCATAAACCATTTATTTATTCATCGGGTCATATCTCAGCCAATACCTAATATATTCAATTAGTTTTCGACATTCGGACATTATTTTTGATGCTCTTTTGGAAAATGAAGAAATTAAAAAAAAAAAAGATTTGTATGATTTCACAACCTCGATACTCTATAATGTCTAGATCTGTACAATAACTTGTTATTATATTTTCAGTGTATTTTCTCCTTACGCAAAACATTTTTCATGATGAAAATCAACTCTCAGTTGATTCCAGGAGTTTACCCTTTTAACATCAATTACTCAATTCCAATTAACTCAATTTACTGGGACTAATTGAAGGAGGTTGAAACCCCGCCGCTCGCGTTCATAATGTGTAAAACTACAAGTACTTGGGAAAGCGTTTCCTCGAAATCAAGGAAAGAGGTGGTTTCGTGGTTGTTGATACACTTTAGGTATAATCTTAGAATGGAAAACAATATGACAGAATAACATGTCTAATAAACTCCGGAAAAAAATCCTTACTAACTTAGATAAAACTTGGAAAAGATGTTGACATATTCAGGTAATTTGTGTCTGTGTTATTGTATAGATATATCTTTTAAAAGTAGCTGAACCAACAGAAGTGTTAGTCGGAAAAATTATTAAATCATTGAAAAGAAAGATAATGTTCATGAAATGCAACCTAACATCTCCTTCTTATAGTGTTGGGAGTCCCAAATTCGCCAAAAATTTCACTTAAATTGTGTCTTAATGTGAAAGAGGGTGTCATTTGAGACGCACTTCTGCAAAGATTTTCCCCTAAAATTGCGTTCAAAGACAAATATTGATGAAAAAATACGTAATTTGATATTCTTTCATAATTGTATTTAAATTCAAACATTTTCAAATGTTTTAAATTACATCCTCTTTCACATTATGATACAATTTAAATACAAAATTTCCATCAAGTTTGTTGGGCTCCCAACACTTTCGAGGGGCTTAAATAATATGAAAGTTCATCCAAGAATTTTTTTTTTTTTTAATAATTAACAGCGCACTTATACTTCCCATAATTTAACGATTCAATTGAAATCTGAATAGTAAATTAAATGTTATCTGAATATAATATTTGTTTTAATTTTATTTTATAATCTACAGCCGTGGCTATGATTTAGCAACATCATCGAAAGACACACTTCAAGATGAGAAGGGATCCAGAGGACCTCTTCCTGACGTCCCTGACGGTTATGCCAAGTACATTGGAGGTGACCAGTCACTCTATGTCGAACCATATCTCAAAGAAAATGGAGATCCCATTCGAAGCTATGAAGTCTACGAAAAACCAATTTGAATAAATTACTACCAGTTTTAGATTCGGTGTGCACTTTATTTAGGAAAACTCCACTCTCTTTTATTGACCTTCTTTTATACTTATGCTGTTGTTCTATGGTGTTGTTTAGTTGTTATAAATTTTGATTAATATTTCCCTCAAATGTTAGAAGTTATTTCACGCAGTCATTCCCCATTCCTTACTTATTTACATGTACATTCAATATATGAAAATGGCATACCATTTATCCCCTCTTCTTTTTTATAATGCATTCGTTGTTGTCTTGGATCCACAACTGAATCCACTGAATATCTTGTTATGTTGCACTCAATAAAAGTTATAAACGTATATGTTGATTTATGTCATGATTGTTCAAGTAAGAATATGAAGAAGACCGCTATCGCTCTTGTATCCTATTTGTATTATTGAGATAATTTTAAGATGAGGTTAAACCATTTTTGCTCTCTGTATAGTAGATAGGAGATGTATACATCAAGATAAAGAACGTATTTCCTCATAATGATAATTTATTTTCTTTCTAAAAACATGTCCAGGTTAATATAAAGTTGTACAATATTTAGTTAATTGATGGATTTAATATCAAGGAATCCATCAATACCAAATGAGATTGCCTTAATGAAAAACAAAACAAAACAATTGGTCAACTTCCAATCCATTTCACAGAAATTCCTTTGGCTAGGCATATGTGTATTTTTCACTAAAAAGAAACGACTAAATTTATTTTTTGCACCCCTTGAAATTTGATGTTTTTCGTTTTTGTTTCTTTGGTTTCCGTAACTCAAGAATAAAAGATGTAACAGTTAAATGAACGTTTTGTTGAATACGTTTAGTTAAAAGCTTTACTATGTCATGTTCTCAAGAAACATCAATCAGGACGAATATATATTTTGTACATGCTTAATAAAAGGTACGGTTAAAGTCGTAAGGGTGATAACTTTATAAATGAGTACCACACCTCGTTAGCTCCTTGTATTCCCTTTGTGGAAATGTATGTAAATTAAACTCAATCAAACTTGAAGAAGGAAAAAAACAGTATAAAAATATTGAATAAGGTGACAAATTATTATAAAATTCAAGACGTTATATATGTATGAACGTGATATATATACATACACAGAACCTATTAGAAGTCATTTGTGTACAAAGTACCCATGACTTTGTTGGCATGACTCGCAAAATGTCAATGTATGCATACATCATATAAAAATGGCGATACATGTGGCAATAAGGATAATGGTGATGGTATTAATAATGATTATAACATTGATGATAATACAGTGCGTCCCAGAAAAAGCGAAACCCAGAATTATCGATGTTTTACCATAACTCAATCACAATTATAATTAATAAATGCCACATATTTGTAAAGCTTAGGTCTTCTTCTTTTATTCGAAGCAACTCATATCAAGCATATTCTACGCATTCTTCGAAAAAAATGTGTAGAGAGGGTAACAAAAAATAATTTGGCGGGCGGTATTTGACAAGCAATACTATATTCATGGCTCATATTTCCTGATTAGGGTGTCATATGAAAGGGCAGATAATGGACTGTGTAGAAATGTAATTTTCTCTTTGAAATTCAGATACCGCTCGTCAAATGACTTGTTGGTACCCTCTCTTCAAATTGTTTTTAATCACTCTAGCGTGAAATATGCATCACATGAGTTGCATCAAGTGCATGATGCGGTTCTAAGCTTTACATATATGTGGCGTTTATTAATCTTAATCGTGATTTAGTTATAATAAAACATCGATCATTCTCGGTTTCGTTTTTTTCTGGGACGCACTGTACAATAATAACTATCACAATAGGCTTACGTCTCATAGTCCTCCTTTGTATAATGGCGTAGGACATGAAACATAGTACGTTAATGAATGAGTAAATATACAATCTTAAAGGGGATAATCAGGGAGACACAGGAATTCTAACAATCAGAGTAACAATAATGATAATACCCCCCCCCCCCCTCCATCCAAAATAAAAGGGAAAAGATAAAAGTAATGATAATTGGATTAACAATAATAATAATATTGATAATGATAATGATAATTATGATGATAATGATTTTGATAATAATATGACTAATACTACAATGATAATAATGGAAAATCGTCAAGGATGATGATGATAGGATATATATAACATTTTATTTCAGAGCATGTAAGATCTAAATGGACTTGAAAATTAAGAAAATGGTTTATCTTTCGATGTTTGCCATTGTGTTCGTTACACCGGTGTACGATATATTTATACTCAGACTTGCACTTCATATACCACAAAGTACATGTCATTATGTAAAAGAAGGAAAACTGTCACTTAGTGATATCTAGATGTCAATCTACAGAGAATGATATACAATAAATCCGTTCATTAGCAGAAATGATTTCTTACGACTTTTATTTCATGTGAACAATTTATCATGTCACCACCCTACATACGTAACGACAATACTGATTATCACAAGATAAAATTGTCACTCGCTTTCAGCAATAATTGAACATAACATGGTTTCCTTGTATTATTACTATAACTAATATAGTGGGGAGATGAATAAACAACCTACAAATAATAGACTTCAGTGAGGGTTTTAGTAAGACTTATATCCTTATGCTAATCTTTTGGGAAGGTTTGGACTGTTTAAAAGGTACCCAAAATTCGTTTCCAATGGCTGCCAGCCGTTGCAACAAACAAAGTTGACAAAAGATTTAACTCCGTTTCGTAGACGATCGGCCATGCATCAAGTCTTTCGTCTTCTTTGTGCATGGGTGATCGTCAACGAAACACAGTTAAGCCTCAATTTATGGAAATGCAAGCATTACTTTAAACAAACAGAACTTTGTTTTTCCTGGTTCATTTTTCCTTATTGAGGCGTCATATGAAAGGGCAGAAAATGAACTTTTCCGAAATAAATCTTCTCCTTGAAATGCAGATACCCCCCGCCAATTGACTTTTTGTTACCCTCTCTTTAATTTGTTTTAATCACTCATTCGTAGGATATGCTTCACATGATTTGCATCAAATGAAAGAGGAGGATCTAAACTTTACAAATGTGTGTCATTTATTAATTATAATTGTGATCGAGTTATGATAAAACATCGATAATTCTTGGTTTCGTTTTTTTCTGGGACGCACTGTATATACATATATACATTTATATTATTAAATAGCAAGTTCGGTGAAAACTAGGTGACATACTGCGAGGTACATTCACCAACACGCATGCGCATAAACACACACACACGCGTATACATAAAAGTGCTAACGGCCGCTACAGATTGAGGTAAAACAATGCATATCCGCTCTTAACCAAGGTTTGTTTAACAAATCTATCTAATTATAGAACATTTAATGGATTAAAGATTAAGTGAAGTGGGCATTAAACTCATCGACGGCCATAATCTTTATTCTGGCATGGTCCAGGTCAAGCTTACAAATGACATTTGGAAGAACTTGATTACAATGTTCAACAGCTTCGAATTTAATCATTAGTATGACGCCAAATTAAAATAATTGCAATTGTGAAATGGTCGACGAATCGTGGCGACAAATAAATCATATGACAGTGCTGAGTTGTCCTTGGAGATATTCCTTTAAAAGCAGCCTTACAGATGATGAGAACACTTTTCTGATGTTTTCAGATGCTAGAAACCTGTTGAGGCGTTTTACTATACTGATTTAGAATGCTGAATATTATTTAATCTTAATATGGGCTTCATGACACTTGAACTTAAGAAGAAAAAAGGGATTGGAAATACCCGTGGTTTATGGCTTAGTGTGCAATCCCGTCAATTTTGACGTGACTAAAGAAGATGGAGTAATTAATTCCAATTATTAACATAATCAATGAATGCACAAGAAAAATGGAATCCGGTATGTAATAGTCACTCAATTTCAAAATAAAGTTTTGTTTCGGCTCGTCAGCGGACCTGATCAGTATACAGGCAGGGTAGAGGTCAAAAAGGCAAATGGAAGTTCTAAACAAATATCGACAACGCCAAAATAAGACCGATATTAAATGTTGCATTGATCTACTGAATGTTGTTTACCTGCTAGCACCCTCCCCGCCCCCTCTCTACTTCTCTCTCAATCTGGCAAAACCACATATACCATAACGGCATTAAATGTTTGAGTTCTTTAAATTGAAGAACAAATAATATTCAATATGCATCTGTATGTGTAAACACGTAAAAGATGGGACTTCTTTTCCTTACATTAGCATAAATAATTTTATATAGGTTTCACTTCCAACTTTCTAAATTAGTAACCAAGTTAACATTGCCAGAGTTTATTCAATTTCGTGCGAAATCGAATGAATGCGTAGATCGTCATTCAACATGTAATTTTGCTCATTCAATCAATAATTAGGAGCATGTGACTATATACTAGTCTGCAAGCACAGACCCTGATGTGACACTTTATCAAAAAATCATCGTGCCCTGAAAGAAGCCTAGACCAGCTACCTACTGATTGTGTCAATATAGGAGCAGCTATATATATATATATATATATATATATATATATATATATAGTACATGGCCTATGGTAGTCTTATAGTGCAGACTCTCTTTTTCGACTGACCAAGGTTTGTGCCTGTGTCAGGAGCAGCTATAGTAAATTGCCTATGGTAGTCTTATAGTGCAGACTCTCTTTTTCGACTGACCAAGGTTTGTGCCTGTGTCAGGAGCAGCTATAGTAAATTGCCTATGGTAGTCTTACAGTGCAGACTCTCTTTTACGACTGACCAGGGTTTCTGCCTGCAAACTAACTATGTACGGCAGCTTGAATGCGATCATTTAATTTATATTTCAAAAGCACCCCTTCACCCTTCCAGTCACACTTGGCGAAATAAAATTACGATTACGCATTTCGAATTTCGTTGAAATACACCCAAATTTGAATGTGAAACACGGGGTTTTCGAGAAACAACAAAACATTATATGTACAAAGATTCAAGCATAAGAAACCGCAAGCAACCCAAATTTGAGTGAACTTGATTGAATGTTGAGAAGTAAAATCATGTTTTGGACGAATTTGGCAGGGAAAATCTTTTAACGCTCTGGCATTCCGAGTGAAGACGGCGAAATAAAGCAGAGAAAAAATGTAAATAATATTTTATATTATTAACAAATAAAACGTATGATATTTTCAACGTGAACGCACACGTGCATATGCTATTATCTTAATGACGAAGATATAACAAAATAACTGCAGAATATACCAAATAGTAGAAAATTCCTATATTTTGTAACTTCTACGGTTGTTTTATTATTTTTTTTCGTCAATCACCACATAACTATTTATACATATATGTATATATTTATGATAGGCCATTTTATTAGTGTTGGGACTTAGAGTACAATATACTCTATATCTATTTTCATCTATTTTGAGATTGATATTGAATAGGTAGGACAGGGAATCGGTCTGGACATTTAACGTTTTCCTTACTGGGCTTTGACCATCTACCGTCGACATTAATATGAAATACAACAATGACGTGTGTGATCGTTAAATAAATAAGGATGGATGACTGGGTGTAAGTCAAATAAAAGATTTTAATTTCGTCTTTAAAAAAGAAAAGCAATAAACACATATCACTACCAGTCTAAAAACTTTGTCACGTGCGATTTTCTGTCTTATAACAAATGAGAATTGCATTCTCTTTTATGACAAATTATAATAACAAATAATATTAAGAACATTTAAATATATAATACGCTCTAAGCGTTTAAATAATT